TACTCTCATCCTCTATCAAACCGGCCTATCTTTATTGTATCCCCGATATGCTTTTTTACTTATAAGGCTTCAGACTTTTGATCATGAAGTAGATATATATACATATACTTTGAGTAGTCAATCAGTAAATGTTATAAAGTATCTTTGACCACTCAAGTAGGGAGTAGAGAGCGGTCAACATATGTCTGTGTGAATCAAAGCTAGTATTGCTTCACTCCTTGTGGCTTTAGTTCCCTTCTTGTTGATTTGTTTTCCTTTGATACAATCAACACAACTGGGAAAATTCTCAAGGCTCATGCGTTGCAAAATTTCGTCACTCATGAGTCTCTTAAGGCGATCAATTGAAATGTGACCTAACCTTCTATGCCACATGAATAAGGAGTTCTCTTCTATTGAACTTGTCTTTTTCCCGACTATATGGGACATTAATTTGTCCAAATCCGATGAACAGTTCAATTTATATAAGTTAAAAATTAAATCACCAAAACCAATTAATCTAGATGAATAAAATATTTCCAACTTTAAGTCATAGAAATTAAGTTTATAACCATCAAGTACTAGTTTGGAAACAGAAATCAAGTTCTTGGAAAATCTACGAACACAAACCACATTATTCAAAATTAATTTATAACTAGTACTCAAAATTATTTCAAAATCTCCTATGGCCTTTGATAAGGGGTGATTTGGCCAGACCTCCTAATTGGGTGACACGTGTACATGACTCGGCAACTCAACATGAGCAGATCGGCACGTGGGCATGGCTCAACGCAGGTGACAACTCAGCCAATATCAACTTGCTACAGAACGATCTCAAGTACACTAATGTCCCGAGCTGAAGGTACTTCGGGTCGAGTCCATCTCAGTTCGCAAACTAAAACAAATTCTCAACAGTCTGAACCCAAGCAAGTGAGCCACCTCGAAGACGACTTGCCTCAGGCAGAATCACCTCGGCACACCGCCAGTAGCTTGTCACAGGTAGCTCGCCACCAAGTAGCTCGCTACAGGGTTGCTCGCTGACCGTACCTGCCAACCCCAAAGGCTGCACCCACGTCCCTTGTCTGGTGGCGCAGTGTCTGCCACCTCTGAGGATTGCACTCATGTCTCTCGCCTAGTGACGTCGTGCCTGCCAACCCCGGAGGTTGTCTCCTACCTAGCGGGACCGTACCCTACAACAGTCGCACTAGCCCACCTGCTCCCCAGTCCTGACGATGAGAGCCAATCACTCCGAAACGTTACCTGACAATAGATCGCCGCAGCAGAGATTCAGGATCAACCCCACCAAACCTGTCAAAATGCCAGAATATAAAGACTTCAACCCCCTAGGGGCCAAGGTATCACATATTCACCACTCTCTAGCTTTCTCTTCTTGCAAACTCATTCTCTTCCAGCTCGCAACCGAGTACTAACTTAAGCATCGGAGTGCTCTCGTCGGGTGAGCAACCCCAGGTTCCTTCATCTCTCTTCACGTAGGTACCTCTTGCCCGTCGTCAGCTAGGAGCTCAGTCACTTGCAGCTAGGAATGGCCGGATTGCGCATCATCAGCCTTCACAACCACTATATTTCCGTCTCCCAAGAAGATGAATTGTTCATTCGGTTTTGGTTTCCTTGTCCTTCGTAGTCCCTACATGGTGTTAACAATATGGATTGTTGCACCCGAATCAATCCACCATGAATCAAAGCATGACATAGCAAAATTGGATTCACATACCAAGGAAAGATTAGTACCTGATTCTTTCTCCTTCAGATCCAGCCAGCTTAAACCTTGTGCAGTCACTTCTAAAATGGCCCTTCTTCTTGTAGAAGAAGCAAGCGGGCTCACTCTGTGGCTTTCCTTTAGTATTTTTGTGCCTCTTGTTCTTCTGTGCAAGACCTTTCCTCTTCTTCTCACCTTTCATAACAAGATTGGCAGTTTCCAGCCTCTCTTGTTTAAGTCTCTCCTCTTATTGTATGCACATAGTCAAGAGCCTGTTAAAGTTCCAAGATTCCTTCTAAGTATTATATAACACTTTGAATGGTCCATACTCAGCTGGCAAGGAGGTAAGAATAAAGGTGACTAAGAAAGGACACACCAAGGCTATTAAGCTTATCGCTTATGTCCTTCATTTCCAAAATATGGTCTCTAACAAATTTTGAATTTGGTAATCTTATGTTAACTAATTTGTTCAATAATGTTTGTGATACCACCTTTTCTAAAGTGACAAAGTGTTCTTTGATGGCTGCAAGATATTCAGCCACGATATCCTTCTCAGGAATAACACCTCTTATCCTTTTGTTTATGTAGGCTTTTACAATCGATTTACATATTCGGTTGGATCTTTTCCAATCATCTAAGTGATCTCTCTTTCTAAGATGCATCGTCATTAAGTACGGGTTTCTTTTTTTCCCATATAGCCAAATCTAGGTCTTTGCATCCTAGAATTATGTTGAGCATTTCGTTCCATTCTACGTAACCATCAGCATCCAACATAGGAATTGCAATAATATCAAAGGAATCAAGATTTGTTGCAAATTTGAATTAAATTTAGAATATTAGGATTTTTCCATAAAAGCAATTGAGTTTTACCTTCGGGCATTCAACCCAATTGTCGGATCAATTAAGGGCCTATTCGTTTGCTATGAAGTCTGACATCCGAAAGTGCAATAATTACATTAAGAGGTATATTGGTATTGGTGAACTTTTCTTTCCTCTGAACTCTGAATGCAGAGAATATTATTCTGAACTCAGAATTCTGAATTCTGAAAATTATCAAATATCTATTTTGACCCCATATATTAGAGTTTTTGTTTATCTTTTGGGGGTATCATTGAAAAACAAAAATTTGTATGATTGCACTTTAAGAGATAAGAGGAAACGAACAACCATTTTTCTCTTAAAGTTAAAAGATTTCTCTTGAGAGATAAGAGTTAAGAGGAAATGAACAGACCCTAAGTATGCATCACTTGAGGTTGCTATCCCATACCTTTGGGTATTAGGGAGTTAGATTCTTCAAATTATTCACATTTAGGATGTCATTAAATCTTAATTGCTCACCTTTGGGCCCAAGCAATTCTGATTTAATGCTAACATTCAATTCCAGCATCCTAGAAATATCAATGGACTGCTTTGGCTAGACTCACTCAGCAAGTATGTTCTCTGTAGTGCAACCAATTTGTTGATACGGTTCACCTTCCAAAATTATCAATTGTAGTGGTCTAACATGATATTTGAATAATCCGTTCGGTTCAACTAAGTACCGAACCACTATCTGAGTTGCAATAGTTGGACTAGTTTGAACCTGTCCAAATTGACCCATATCGATTTGGGTCATTAGCCCCACCAACAAATTGGTGTTTCTTGGTCCAAATAATAACACGCTAAACAACAACTTAGATAATGGGCCTACAGCCCACTACTCATAATAAGAACCAATACAATAAAATAAGGTATCTGGTGTATCAGCCCATTAAACAATTATTTTGGTCTCTCCATGACTGCCATTTTGATGACATGACAAGTTCAAAATTTCTGTTGGTTACTGCATTAAATAACAGTACATGGGGGTCCAGTAAAGTAAATATTCTTTTCCTATTTAAATAAGGAAAAACAGTGAGCACGTAGTTCACCATATATGATTTTAGTGATCAAACAGTTTATGATCAGTCCAATATTTATGATCAATCAAAATTTATTTGATCACAGAATTCATATATAACAGTCCATATAACGATTAGTCATGGATCATTGGATCTTAAAACATTTCTTTATCCATGGCTATCATCTAACTCATTGGACACCCATTTACTGGTCACGTTGTGACCAATAATCATTCGAAATGAATAAAGCTATAACACTGCAGCAAATTTGGTTCCCATAATGCCATCAAAAGATGTTCATATTCAGCTTAGCTAATAGGTAGCAACTACAATAACCCTTTATGTTAATGGTGGATTAACCATTTCCACCAACATGGCTTGTTACAACAATGATGCCAATAAATCGACATTTAAAATAACTCAATAAATGGATCAAGAGAAATAAAACAATAAATAAATAAAACTCTTGAATCTAGCAGAATGGGCATGAAATACAACCCGAAATTCAAGCCATATTGTAGATAACCGGCATTACCAAAACCAATTAGCATAAGTATATAGAATAAAAAAATTCTAATGACAGCCATGGGATCTAAGTACAAGAGGTTCAACCAATAATACAATGTACATAAAAGTATGGAATAATAAAATTGAAATAATAAAACAGATCTGACTGCTTGATCTGATCTTGAAGACTAGTGATTGTTTTGGCCGATCAAAAGAACAAAATATATATATATATATATTATACCTCCAATCGTCATAATCAGTGTTCTTGACTTGTGGAAGCCGATTTCCTTCTCGTATCAACCTTTGGGCGTTCTCCTTGGCTGTATCAATACAGGTGTCTCTACTTGAATGTAGTACTTTCTATCACCAAGATAGATGCTTGGTGACTGCAAGGACTTAGTCTATCCCCTTAAGTCACAGCGATTCTCTCAAGAATCTTTTCTCTCAGAAACAGTGTTGATAGGATGCATTCTCATGAGTTGGAGTTGGAGGCTAGAATGAGATTAATTAATAGAGAGAATGCTTCATTCGCCCAGGGGAGAGGGGTCCTCTCTCATATTAATTCTTTTAGGTAATTTCACCCTATCAAAGAGTTTACCTAAAGATGAGGGATTTAATTCCCTTGATTTTATCTCAATTAACAGCCCAATTATTTCCAAATAAATGGGGTCTATTCAAATTTAAATTTAAATTGTCAAATCCCCAAATTTTGGAACTATTCTTGGAAAGTGTTTAAGTCCTACCACCCACACAATGAGTTATATTCGGGTGATTGGATTAGGACCAAACAATCTGGATTGTGGCCTACCCGTATGGGTATTTTTCTAACAATTTTCTCCCTGTTTTGTTAATGTGCACCATGCAAATTACAACAAACTTATTGTTTTCATTATTAGTTATTAATTTTATACATGCAGGTACAGGACTAGGTCTCCTCTTTGTTGTTATTGGTAGCTCTTGGGTGCATTTGGTTTTGCAGAAAAGAAAGGAAAGCAAAACGAGAGAAAAATTCTTTAAACAAAATGGAGGTTTATTATTACATCAACTGCTTGGTTCAAGTGAACAGTCTTTAGAGACAATGAAGATTTTTACTTCAGAAGAGCTGAAAAAGGCAACTAACAACTATGATGAGAGTCGAATACTTGGTCGTGGAGGTTATGGCACAGTCTATAAAGGAGTATTACAAGACAATAGAATAGTTGCCATTAAGAAATCCAAAATAATTGATAAAGACCAAATTGAGCAATTTATAAATGAAGTTCTCATTCTCTCCCAAGTCAACCATAGGAATGTGGTGAAGTTACTAGGCTGTTGTTTAGAAACTGAAGTTCCATTACTAGTTTATGAGTTTATCTCTAATGGGACCTTATTTCACCATATTCACACTGAGAATAAAGAGTTGCAGCTTTCATGGAAAGATAGATTAAGGATAGCTGCTGAAACTGCAGGAGCACTTGCTTATTTGCATTCTGCGGCTTCTCCACCAATCATTCATAGAGATGTCAAGTCTGCCAATATACTTTTAGATGGTAATCACACTGCAAAAGTTTCAGATTTTGGTGCTTCAAGGTTAGTTCCACAGGATCAAATGCAATTAACTACATTGGTACAAGGCACTCTAGGGTATTTAGACCCAGAATACCTGTATACAAGTCAATTAACAGAGAAGAGCGATGTATATAGCTTTGGCGTGGTCCTTGTGGAGTTACTTACAGGAAGAAAGGCTCTTTCTTTTGAGAAACCTGAAGAAGAGAGGAACCTAGCAATGCATTTTGTTTCATCAATGAGAAGGAATCGACTCTTTGATATTCTAGATGATCGAGTAATGCATGAAGGGAGTCGTGCACAACTCCAAGAAGTTGCTGAACTTGCAAAAAAATGCTTAAAGTTGAATGGAGAAGAGAGACCAACAATGAAAGAAGTCGCAATGGAACTAGTAGGGTTGCAAACAGTTGGAATGCATCCATGGGTCAATCAATATCCTACAGAAACTGAGCATTTTCTAAGTGAATATGAAGACTCAAGTTACAATGGCACCATTGAATTTGACAGCCTGAACAGTTATGGTTTTAATTGATTCCAGGAGATAGTTTCCAAGTACTTTATCTTCCTTCACAATAAATACAATGGTGAAGAACCTTACATATGTGTTAACATTGTTGTCCCTTCTTAATTTTTTTCATGTTATTATGCTTTTTGAATGTTTATATTTAGTTTTCAATAAATTAGTTCTATACCTACCACCTATCACTGTTGTTGTATTGCTATATAATATTTGAGATAATAAACAATATTACTTCAACACATTCAATCAACATATTACCAAAAACTATATTCTTAATTTGTGATTGATCATTTGATTTTCCTAATTTAACTAACTTGTTTATTGGATAATTATCAAATTCTATAACAAATTCTAGGTGATATGAGTTTTCTCATACGTATGGAGATTAATTTCCTTAATGAACCATGCATGTGAGAAAGGTTCTGATATAGAAGTCTTTCATGCCAGTCAAATAGTGGTTATGTAAAAGTGGCCCTCATGTAGCCTTCTGGTCATGATCCCAATTCCCTTAATGGTTGTTGAAGCTGAAAATTAGGGATTAGCAGATCAGATCCATGCTAGGTTTTTCTTTGGTATTTAATGGAAAATCTAGTTTTGGTACTTGTGCTATGAAGAACATTACCCCCTCTCTAAAGTTTGAGCTTGAAATGGAATATACCAAGAAAAACATAGTTGCAGGTTTGCTATGGAAAATTTCCTTAATTCACTTTTCTCTCAACTCTCTTTTGCAAGAAGAAAGAAATGGGAAGAAATTGTTGAACCTTGGGCTCAGTTTTGGAAAGAGTACAAATATAAATAGGTACAGTGCAAAAATGGACTTAAATTTTTGGGCATCCATATCTCCTAAAACCAAAAGCTGAACTAAATGGTTGTTGAAGCTGAATGACAAAACCAAAAGCTGAACTAAATGGTAGTGTCCACAGAATCTGGCCATAAGAATGACAACATAAAATAGGAGAGATGTACCCAATATGCGGCTGTAGTGTTCTAGTCATGATCCCAATTCCCTAAATGGTTGTTGAAGCTGAAATTAGGGATTAGCAGATCAAATCCATGCTTGTAATTTGGTATTTTTATAGCAACTTCATCCATAGTGTATTTTTATAGCAACATGATGTTGATGATGTTGATTGTTGAGGACCAAAGCCGCATCATCATCATCATCAAAGTTCCTGCGCCAGTCCGTTCTGTTTAATGTGTCATTACCAAAGCCACATCACATGTATAAAAAACAAAAGGCCCATAGCAAGTTTTTTTCATTTCCTTCTGCCCAATGTATATTGCTAAAATCCACCAAAATTTCCAATGACAAGACAAATAATCTTCATTTATTTTGAAAAATCAACAACCGAGCTGAATTGGTTATACAAAAATAATTCTTGTTTAAAGAATCATTCAAAGGCTTCTTGCCTAATTCCCAGTCAGTCATTCATCTAAGACAAATAGACTATCTTAGTGACAACCCAACCTTGAAGAATTCATGCATTTGTTGCAATAAAAAATGAAGAAAAACAAGATCAATCAAATTGTCGGTTGGAGTCTGATCAGTGTATCACTCCAGTCAAAAGGTTTTTGGCTGGAGGCAGCAAAGCAACAGCGCCACGTTGAGGATCTGAATATTTCTTGTACACTGCTCTTAGCTTACTCTCTGCTGCTATTGAATGGAAGTGAACCAGCAGTTTAGCACAGTCCCTGTTGGAAGAGAAGAAAAAAAAGAAGAAAAATAGCCAAGTTACTACTATATTTCATTAAACTTCACAGCCTTAATGGAATTAACACCAAGGAAAGAAGAGGGCGTACATGAGCTGAGACTCTGAGAATCCTGTGTGGAACTTGAGAGTTTCACTCCAAAGAGGACTCTTGTTCAGGGTGCACTGTGCTGCATAGACTGCTGAAGCGGCCACCATTGATGGACAATACCTTATTGTCTCGTAGTGCATCAAACCAAGCTCCGCCATGAAGAAGATCATGTTTTCCATCTAAATTTTAAGAAACAAGGAATGTGGGTCATCAGAAAATCTCTCAGAAAACTGAATTCAAATTGACAGTTGTAAGCTGCAAGCCTGCCCAATATTGCGCACCTTCTCATCGGAGGCAGCCTTGATGAAACGAACAAGGAACACATAAGGTGTAGGGACTGTCAAGGTCCATTCCAGCTTGCCCAATATTGCTTTCTCCATGGCCAAAATCTGTTCTCTGCTATATGCTCTATCTGATATCAGAACCAAGTCATTGACCTGCAAATTTCCAGAACACACCAAATTGAGATCAATTTATCAGAAACAAGAACAGTATCCAACTGGACCGTTTTAGAAGCTAAGATTCTACCTCTGGAGCCCATATCTCTTCATATTTGCTGGCTATGAGCATAGCACCAATGCCAAGTAGCTGCAGCTCTCTCCTTGGAACTGCTTTCATAGATAGGAACCGGTCAATTACATGGATGGTAAGGTAGAGAGTTTCAGGCCTGAGCTCGAACTTGTAATGAACTTCTATCAACCAGTCCACAAGGATTGATCTCATCTTCTCGTTAATATCAGGCTGCGAATGCATGTAGTCGTGAACTCGGCTTGCGTTCTGTATCAGGAATTGGGAACATCCAATTATCAATCAAACACACAGACAGATGCAGAATTAGATAAAGCAAGATGAAATCGAAGAAGAATAATACCTCTTCGAGCTTGTAAAACTTGTATATATCTTCAACATAGTCGACCACTGCCAAATGGTTATTGGTATCTGCAGAATCAATGTCAAAACTGGGTTCCTTGGGCTTATCAGCAATGCCACAAGCAGCCTGAGGGGAATCAAAAGAAACAGGAAAAACAAATAAGGGATGATCTACTAAGAACAATGGAAGGAATGTGGATGATTTCAGAATCAGAAAATTACCTTGCTTCGAGCAGTTAGGATTGAAGTGAGAGTCTGGATTTTCTTCCTGGATGATCTCTGAGATATGGAGCTCTCCTTTTTAGTGCCTTCTTTTGTTTGAGTCACGTCCTTTTTGGGGCTTATCTCCATTCCAGTGTCCGGGGTTGGCTTCACAGAAACCTTCTTTCGAGCAGGCTTTGCAGCAGCCACTCCTTTTGGAGCAGCCACCGCTCCATCAACAAGGACTGCAGGTGGTTTCTTCAGAATCTGAAGTCCAATATGTACCATTATTTGGACTGAACGATTCAAACTTTGGATGAGAAATCAAGAAAATGTTGAGATAGGAGAGTGTGCTTGGGATTTACCTTGTTATTCTCTTGTGCCGCGGCTTGTGCATTGGCGAGTAGTTGTGCACAGAAACTCCTAAAAATTATGAACGAAATTCAGGAACTGAAAGAAAGGAAGAAAACGAACCATTCACAGACAAACAGAGAGAGAGAGAGACCTTGTTAGAGGACGAGAAAACTCCTGCTTAGGCTTCCCATCGATACCTGGAATAGTAACCACATTACCAATATCTCCCAGTGCCCGCCGGTTATGTCCTCTGGATGCAGCCATCTTCTGTTTCCCGGCCCCGGCAACTGCTCCATCTGCATATTTTTTATGAATAAACTCGTGATAAAGCATGGTAAAAAGAAGAAAGAAAGAAACAGACCCAGATCAGATCAACACAGACGAAAATGCCCCACTTTTGCTCAATTTTTTAATCAAGAGAAATGACATCATAAATCAAAGGAAAAATCATAGACACAATAGAAAGAACTAGATAAAAAGAACCAAAAGAAATGAACAACAAAAATCTGTTCAGATCAATAGATTAAAACAAAACTACGAAGGCCCATCTCACAAAGTATGGGAAACTATCAAGGAGAAAATGATTGATGAATATGACCGTTAGATATGAACCGAGTTGCGGATTGGAGAAATGTAGAAAAGAACACAAAGAAGTGGGTAGAATCTACCACATAAAGTACAGAAACAGAATCAGAAAGACCGATACGAAAGAGTTTAGAAGCAAGTATACCTCTTGGTTGCTGTGAAGCAACAGCTCTTGACGCCATTTCTGTTGTTTTGCAAGGATTGCAACGAACGACGATCTAGGTTTGGTTTCTCTACGAGGATTGTCGAGAAGCAACAAGTGATCTCTCTGCCTCTCTCTGCAATCTTTCTTCTTCCTCCTCCTCTTCTTCTTCTCCAACAACCACTTCTACCCTCTCTGTCTCTGCAACTCCTCCTCGTCCTCTTCGTCTCCTCCTCCAGTCCTCCGCTTCCTCCGCTTCTGCTCCTCTACGGTCTTCTCACCCTTTTGAACCCGGGCAAGGGACGCCTCTTCCCAACGGTCTTATTCCATTGAAATTTTGACCGTTGGATATCTAGTAATCCAACGGCTTTATTATGTCTTACAATCGTTGCTAGACCTGTCTTAAGGTCCGAGTCCAAAGTAATCCAGTGGCAGACTGCGCTTGACTTGAGTAACCCCAAAGCCGAAGGCTCGAAGTTTATGGGAGCGTGGTCTCTCTGGGAGACTGGGACCACAGGAGACCGGATTTCATAATTGAGCAAGGCCCCAGCTCTGCCACGTGTTCCCAGTGGGACCACCACTGACGTGGATCCCACCTAAGAGATTGCATGTTGGGATGAAATTAACCGTCTGATGAGCATAAGAATGGAACTTCTTAGATGCATAAAACACGTGGAAAGGTGACCCCACCGCGTTGAACCATTCGGCACGTCCCGACGTCCGTTGCCGGTTGACCGTTGGCCTAGGCCAAAAGCCTTGGAAAGTTTGAACCCGATTCGAGGCCCAAGCCCAAACCCAATAGGGCAATAGCCTCCATGAGGTTTCTTGTCCAAAATTCTCCTTCCACTATTTTTCCGTTATATATCATTAATAAAATTTGTCCATACAAACATTTAAGCATTTGACATGATCAAACTATTCTTAATACGCAGTTCGGAAGGAACATAAATACAAATATGTAGTGTGTAAAATCCTGTATTTTGTATGTATTTGCACTACACATATTTGTATTTGTATTCCTTTCAAATTAAGCCTAAATGATCAATCTTATTAAATATTTTTTATAATTAAATTATCCTTGATGCCTATATATAGTAATACATATATTACTTTATTTCTTTGCTGCATTTGGCATTCCTTATTTTAAGGATTTATCTTCTTTTTGCAGTTAAAATGCCCTAATGAATACTGAGTTTTTAATAGTAAAAATGAGATAAGTCCTTAAAATAAGGAATGCCAAATGCAGCACCACTAGTCCAAAACTGTAAGCCATTATACATTCTATCTTATAAGCCCATAAAAACATGGGGTTGTTTGGCAAGTCTTTCTAACTAGACTTTTTCCGACAACCTAGCAGACCAAAAGAATGTATAGAGGTTTCTGGAGTTTGTCTTTCAATTGGTAAGTATTATGGTCTAGCATGGTCTATTTGAGATGTTAGACAAAAGATTGTAGATGTGAAAAGATGGGAAGCTTCAAATTACACTAACCAATTTATTCGTTTTGGGTTTCTGTGAGCTTTCTCGAGCATGGGCCTTTCCATCCTCTCATCTTTTATTGCCAAATGGAAAAAGAGACCAAATTTTGATTTTTTGAACTTTGAAAAGCCTGAAAGACTGCATGGAAAGAATTGCCAAATGTCCCCTTGGTTTCCTAGGAAATTTAGGAGTTGAGCCTCTCTTATCATAACAAAAGACAGAAACAAAATACAAGAAAATTTATTAAAAAGCCTTGTTTGACATGTCTTTTTGCATAGATTTGTCGGTCTTTTAGAAGTCTGGCAGCCCACATTTTGGTCTTTTTCCATTTGGGTGGAAAAAGATCTAACCGTCAAAAGTTGCAGCCCCGAGAAGACACGAGAAGCCCATTTTGAACTGTTTTTGAGAAGTTCCAAATTGAGCTTTTTACATTTTTTTCAACTCATCTTCATGTAGAAAGATGTGCCTTAACCAAACAGTCTTCAAATTAGTAAAATCTTAATTGAAAAGCTCACATCGATCTTTTGATTATCAGAACTTTAAGAAAACCTTTCAAAATAAACTTGCCAAATGGCCCCTAAATTAACCCGACAGGTTTATGAAATAGTGTATAACAATAAAAAGGAATAATAGTAAACGTGCACATATGAACATGTTCAGAAAAAAATTGAATCTATTAAGAAATTCTTGTTTTAAGTCGCATAAGCTTTTAACAGATGATCTAAATGAAGCATATTCATCAAACCAGAAAGACCACAGGCTCATGGTTCAAGCAGTTCAACCACTAATTTGACCTACATTGTATTTAGCACGAATGCATTTTTGCAAGCGTTCTCTTAGATTTTTTTTTTTTTTTCTAAACAAAAATAAAGAAAACTTAGTTGGGTAAATATGCATGCTATGATGCTGATTAGACTTAATCTTATTTTATAATATTTCAATTATCCTAATTATATGTCAGATTTAAAATTCAATGCACCAGATTTTTCTACCTTTTCTTTCAAACCAAACACACCACTAGTGATTTAAGATCACCAGAAAAATAGAACCAAGAGCTAAATTTGTACTTGGTTCACATTTTCAGCCATCAGAACCATCAGAAATTCAGCCCCCATCACATTTAATTTTTATAAACCCAGTTGGACTGTTGGAGGAGGCCTCCAGTAATCTCTTTTCCTATAGGATCCCTCTGCTAGGAAGATTATCAATAGGGAGTGCCTGGCTCTCTGTAAAACATTCCAATAGAGAGTGATTAATGAATAAATTTATGAGGACTTTGGTAAACAATGGAGTTCCTGACAGCCCAAATGTATTAAAAAGAACTAGCTATCCATTTCAATAAGCTTTTTGAGGAATGATTTTGTATCATAATTTTGCATACTAAAGGAGGACTAGCAAACAAAATGGCTTTAGCCAGAGAGCAACTCCAAAATAAATGGAAAACCATCTCAAAGATCATCTTAAGAAAACTACAAAGTATATTCAAATAAATGGAAGAATTATGAAAGAAAATTAAAAAGAAAGCAGCAAGATGGAAATAGAAAACACTCTCCTTTGAGGGGGAAGACTACACTTCTAAAAGAAACAGTAGGGATAGTGCCCCAATACTTAATGAGATTGTTTAGATTCCCCAAAAAGAATAGTGGAAGAAATATACAGATTATAAAAGAACTTTCTTTGGGGAAAGGAGAAGAACAAACCAATGGCTCTAGGCATGGATCTCAAGAAAATGGAATAGTTAATGCTGCAAATATAGCAAAATTCGATGGAGTAATCTTTCAAAGGAACAATTTATGGGTTAAGGCAGTGACTTGTAAAAAAAAAAAAGCATCTTTGAAAATACACTATAGATGCCTTTTTGATTAATGTCCATGATGACCTTGATGACCTAGACATAAAATGATTAGGAATGATGTGCATTGCAGATTTCATTAGTAGGGGTGCAACTTGGGAAGGCGTAACTCAAGCCCAGACCAGTCTGGCCCATAATTTTTCATGGTTTGGATTTGGACTTTTAATCTTTGGGATAGCTGGGCCCAAAACCCCAGGTTTATCTATTTTTTTATTTGGGTCTGAGCCTAGCCCCTGGGTAACTCGAACCCTACTTAAACCCAGTCCAGTTATATATATACATACATTCATACACACATACATATGCAAGCAGTCAAAACCCTCAATGAATTTTTTATAAAAAATCACCCAAGTGGTTACATTTTTTTATGCCAATTGATTGGCTATAAATATTTTTCCATATTATGCCTTTCTGGCATTATAATCGGACTCAAGGTTTAGATTAGTGATACTAAAAGGGTTCATGCAATTTTTTAATACATTGGGCCTAACAAACTTGCTTTAACCTAAGTTCAGCTCAAACTTGAGCCCAAACCAAGCGTGTCAATTTTTGGGCTGACCATTGCCCCAATCTGGTCTTGGGCCTTAGACCCAATATTTAGGGTTATTACTTGAGTTGACCTTCAAATCAGCCCAACCCACTTAATTTGCACCCCTATCTATGATCGACCAAGTTTGGATCTATTACCCACAAGCTGTTCCCACATCCCTACCAATGGGACATAATAACTGCATATTGGAAACATCTACTTTGGTATTTCTATGGATAAGGATGTGAGAACAATTTGTGGGCAGCAGATCCTAAGTGCAATCGACCAACTTGCGACAAAGAAGCAACCTTCCATTTGTTGAAAGATTGCACATTATTTTTATTTCAAAACAAAAGGAGAACCCAAACTTCATACATCGTTAGAACATTTTATTATTTTAATCTGATTTTGAATTTTTGATATAAATAATTTTAGGGGGTGTTCTTTTTTTGGATTTTGAGAGGGGGGAAAATTGATCTATGGGATTTTGATTCCCATTGACCAAGAAACCCATGTTCATTTTTTCAGATTTATGTGGGGACCAGTGAAAGTTTTTTTCCTGGGTACCTCTTTTAGGTGAGTAAATTAACTTTCCATCTAGGGGAAAGTTGCCAATACTTAGAAGGGACAAAAATGCCCCTTTTAATAATGGAATTTTTATGGCTAAGGTTGTCATTGCCTTATTTACATGGGAAAATAAAAGAACATGGGTAAATGCACTCATCTGGTAAATCTTTCCTAGAAACACTTACCCATGTAACTGCTTTTACCTGGGTAAGTGACTTACCAAAAAGTGAATGGAGCATTAAAGTATTATTATTATTTGAGTGAGTTGAAGGATAAAACCAAAAGCCCGAACATTCAGACTTTTTAACTCATGACCGCTTGACCAAATTCGTATCAGCCCNACGTCCCATAGCACATCCCCGCCGTGTATCGCAAACATCTCCCAATGATAATACTAGAAATAATGATATCATCATCGGGAGATGTTCCCAATACAGGGCAGGAATGACGATAATAATATAAAACTCTTGTAAAATTTACATAAGGTGCCCCACACCAACCTCACATGCGCATCGGGAATATCTCCCATGAATAACAACATATAAGATGTGCCTGTGAGGTTGGTGTGAACGCCTTATGTGAGGAGCAGATCTAATCTCCTACGGATTTGTTTTTAATTTAAAGACACGTGTTTCTTTCTCAAAGAGAATACACCAAAATCTGCCTTCTAATCCTGAACAAAGCTATTGCCATCTGATCCTTTTCTACCATGTATTTTAGATGATTAACGTTTTGATGAAGGGTGTGGCCGAGGGTGCACTTTGGGCACATCGAGATGGAGTATATTGGTTGAGCCTGACAAGTTGGGCCCTCTTGTCAA